CTGTGGTGGTAGCCTGCTGGCCTGCTGGCGAGCTCGACTTGATAGCAGACGTGTCACGAGGTAGGCTTTCAGAGTCTTCGCTGGTGCTCGTAGGCTTTCCCTCCGCGACATCCTTGGCAGATTGCAAAGGTACATCGGATAACAAGGGCGGGGAACCAGGCGGAGAGGGGGCAGTGCTAGCAGATGGCCTCAATCGTGACCGCTTCTTTGCTTTCCCAGAGGTAGTCAGCAAGACTTGCTCAAAATGAGCGCTCCACATAGCTATCATGTACTGCCCGTGTTGTGCAATGCTCATATTGCGATCTCTATGCTGTGTGAAGGTGGGATCCGAGAGAGGCGCGAGGACTAGGGCACTCATCGCCCCCGCGAGATGGCTCGGGCTGCAACCATGATAAGCTGCGAATTCCTCGTATGGAAATGTAACTGCAATCTTGGTGGCCATGTCGGCAAAGAACTGGTCAGTGTACGGCGAATAGGTGTCTTCAACGCGGTCAGTTGGACTCAAAGGAGCCTGCGCTGTCTTGGAGATAGTTTTCTTGATCTTTCCTGCCATATTAGTGACGCTGATCAAAGCAGAATTGAAGCAGAATCCGAAGTCGAGTTAGAAACAACTATGGCTGAATGTATATGGCTGGGGAAGAATGGCCACCGCGAAGTCTTGCGACTTTAATTGCTAAGTTAGTGCTTACGCAGGAAGGGGAGAAATCGAGACAGACCAAAGGATACAGATTGAGATGCCATCACGATGGTTAGGAGGAAGAGGGGGTTATTAACACATGGCTGCACAGTGTTGATTTGAGAGTGTCATTGTCTGGGACATTCACAGGGAAACATGCAGAGGTTGGAAGACTGAATGGTTGAATGGTTGAATGAATGAATTAATGAACAAATAAATGAATAAATGAATGAATGAATGAATGATCTGACTTGCATCTTGCATCTTGCATCTTGCAGCTTGGGAATAAATTGTATACGAACAACGAACGGCTTAGGAATTGGTTTGTGCCACCACCCGTGGTCTGGGCTGGGTCCAATAATAATGGATAAATTAAGCTTTGGTCCCTTCCAACACCTGAAGGTCTTTCGGTCGTCTTCCTGCTTTTCCTCTTCCTTATTCTCTCTTTTTCGCCTCCCCTCATCCCCTCATCCCCTTCATGCCTAGTGAATCTTCTTTAGTCACTGTCTTTTAGACCTCATCCCATCAGGTCTCTGTTGGCCTGCAATGGATTCTATTGAGCCTGTCTGTGGTGCCTCTAACTCTCCTGAACCCGACCACCTCCGACCGACGTCATACCCGGCACGTCCACGGGCGCCTTCGCTGCGCTCTCGACGGCCCTCGATTAGACTCCAGCGCCTCCCCTCCTTTGACAGCTCTGGTGTACAATCTCAACGCAATGCACAGACTCCCAATCGACCTTTAGCCTCCCAAGTCGATCTTACCCCATCCAGGCCCGATGCGAACGATGAAGATGATGATGATGCCTGGCAGGGAAACCGTCGCCGCAGCAGCTCCGAGCCCCGACCGGGACGATGGTCGACTGCCCCCAACCCGGTTCTTCTCACTCGGTTCGCGACAGGAGATCAGATGCACACTCTTCACGAAGAAGCCTCTCCACAGAGTCCCGGAGTAGCTGCTGATTCCCTACCACCGTTGCCACAGCAGAATCCCGAATCACTGCAAATTCCACGACGGGGGAGCCGCGGTTTCATGCGCTGGTCGGGTGGGGTGCCCGCAAACCGCTTTACCAGGAATCGCGCGTCAACCGTGAGTGGGAGTGCACCGGCTCAGACGGCGGACTTAGGCGACGAATATCGGTCTCATATTGTGGATGTCTTGGATGTGATCGGTAAGTCGCCGTTGTCGCACAACTCAACCCCGCAGGGCCCCACTGATATCAGTATCCCGCAGATCCCGAAGTGTCGGCACTTTCCACCCTCACCAACGTCCAGAACTCATTATTCGTTCCTAATCTGGGGCCTTTCTTGAACCGTAATCAGACCTATACCCTTTCACCACCGCCTGCACCTCTGAGGAACCTTGAATCGTCGACCAGTGATGAGGGCGAAGATGAGGGCTACGAAAAGGGCCAGGAGCCCGCCGTCCGTCCTTCCATCGAGCACACCCTCACTTCTGTGGTTGACGAAGGCGGCGGGCCTCGATTTGCTGTCCTGCCCGAAGGTAGCGATCTTGCCGGGTGGTCTCCCGAGGAGATTGAAGAACTGAACGACCATGTCCGGCACATGTTGCACTCGCGGAGGTCCAAGTTCAAGCGTGCCATGAAAGGTTTTGGGAAATATGTCTCTAAGCGTATGTCTGGCCATTGCTACGGAACGAGCGGGTCACTAACGCATTAATCTCTCAGCGCTGGGATTCTTGGTCACATTATACGCCACGTTGATTACGCTTTTCGGTCTGGCGTGGGTGTTGTTCTTGATCGGTGTGTATCCCGTCCCGTTCCGCTCCAAACATGCTGATAGATCACCAAGGTTGGATCAACGTCGGAGGCCGGCAGTCGTATCTCATCAACGTCATCGACAATGTTCTTGTGGCCCTGTTTGCCGTCATGGGTGATGGTTTGGCTCCGTTTCGCGCCATCGACACATATCACATGATCTTCATCGCACGTTATACCTTCCTGACATGGAAGATCCGTCGAAAGCGCCGACTTCCCGATCTCAAGAACAAGAACGATTTGCCTTCACGCCGAGAGGAGGACGTGGACGTTGAATTCGGCGACACTCCAAAGGAGGAAGAACACGAGTTCAGCGTGCTTGGACCGGCGCAGCAGGCCAAACTGATCCACCACCAAACCAAGCTTGCCAATTCGCACACTTTCTACAAACCGCACGAAACTTTCACCCACCATGCCTTTCCGCTGCGCATGCTCATTGCTATTGTGGTCCTGCTAGACTGTCACTCGCTGTTCCAGATTGCTTTAGGTGCCTGCACTTGGGGCATCAGCTACCACGTGCGCCCATTTGCGTTGACCACTGTCATCCTCTGCTGCTCGATCTGTTGCAATATCTCCGGTGGGGTCCTGATCATGATCGGAGATCGGAGGACACGCAAGAAGGACGTGGTCGAGCGCCTCTTCCGACAGGAGCTTACGCAAGAAGCGATGAAGAAGATGCGAAAGAAGAGACGCAAGGAGGAACAGAGCAAACCCGAGCATCAATCACCCTTGACTCGTTCCCATTCCACCTCGTCGCGGGCCGAAGACACGGAACCTTTCCCGACGGTGTCTTGATCTGCGCTGTCCGACTACAATATGATAATTGCTCTCCCCGCGAGGGATAATGCACGCTATCTCTACGAAGCCACGACATTCCCAGACCTATACTCCGCTGGACAACTACGAATAATCAACCTAACCCAACGGCACGTCGTCCGTTTTAATCGTTCCACAGGAACTTACTCACTTCAGCGACCCTGAAAATCCACAACAATGGTATGCTAAAAATACACGGCGTCCTAGATGAGTCGTGGCTTTTTACTAAGAGCTCGCTGCTTGCTTTTCTGCTATTTGCTTGTCAATATCTTGATTTTGATGATATCACTTTGGTCGCTCAACGCATATATATATCTATATCCCGTTTGCTGTTTCAAAACTAGCTTATTTTGATTTACTCGTCTTAGGCATTTGATACCAAGAGCATGTTACTTTTCTTCTTCCTCTATTGTTTTCTGTTGCTTTCTTCCAGTGGATGTAGAATTCGGCATAGGAACTGAGGTCATGAATCCTGGACCCAAACAGCCCTTTCCTTCGCTGATGAAGCGCAACCACCATTAAGCCTTACAGTTCCATCCCACGCAAACAACCGAACCCACAACAAAGACGTCAGCCAGAACCCAAACACAAAACAAAGAGGGCACAACCAGCCCCAAGACAGAGAAGCACCGCGGAACTACCCGCCCGCCATGTAGAGCCACCACACCCGAACTATAGAATCTTGATACAACTGAAAGCTCTTGTGCACCAGGGTGCTGTATCAAGCAAACACCCGTCCAAGCTTCACCGTCAACAACCCCCACAAGAAGTAATGCTCCCAACCCGACCCAACCCAAACCCAGCAACAGACAAGTTCCTCCTTCATGCACATGCCCCATCCCCATCCCCATCCCCTACAACGCACTAACTAAAACAACAACACAAAAGAACCAAGCCGCCCCCCCCCCCATCCCCCGCAAAGCACCGCCACCAGCAAAGAAAGTACCGGACCTCCCCATCATCCACAAAGACAACAAGACGCAGCTCAACAACCTTAGACGCTCCGAAACCCAAACGCACCCAAAAGACCGATCCAAGCATTAGCGCGAGCTAACCCCAGACAACGCCAACAAAGCCCTTACAAAAAAAAGAGGCTCCCATCCTGGACGGACGGATATATAAACCCAACCAACTCACTAAGGCATTAGCTTTCTCAGCCTCCTTGCTACGCACACCCAACTCAACCCTTCCCTTCCCATCCCAAACCGACGAACATCACCAGCTAACTAACCCCACAAACCAAACCACCACCCGGCCCCGAATCAACAGGCTCGACCCAAAGCTACTGGGTACAGCAGCTCGCCCCAAAATGTGCGAGCAAGTCTACAGTCACTACGCCGGGTGCAATCACCTGTACCGGACGGACATCCAGTGGTGCGCGGCGGCCAAGAGGCGGCCGGCGCCGCAGCGCGAGCCGTGCCAGCCCGCCAAGGATCTGCCCATGGTGCTGTCCAAGTGGGAGCGGGACAACGTGGGGCTGTGTGACCAGTGTCTGGATCTGAAGCTGTACGGGGTGCATAATGCGCGGACGACGCGGATGGGGTGGTACTGATTTTGTCCCTAGTCCCCTAGAACAGTGTGGGATGAAGCGGAGACGGGGATAAAGGCGGGTGATGTAGAACCGGGTGGCATATAAGGGTGGGTTCTTAGTTTTTCTTACCTTGCCTCGGTTGAGGGTTCGCTTAAATTATTAGTATTGCAGACGTGTCCAGTCTTCCATGTATGAGTAGCAACTGAGTAGAGTGTAAGATAGGAAATGATTCCAGCTAGTGCTGGGGTCTAGCCTAGTATCGGATCTCTGTATAGACATATGATGAAGGAACGAGTGAGGGTTGGGTTCATGTACAACAAAAAGAAATACTCACGCTCGACACTGATTATCAGAGCGGAGACAAAGCTTTCAACGATAGACCAGGAAGTATCTGTAAAAGATGATAAGAATCAAACAGATAATCTGCCTCCATAGGCATAAAACATGCAAATCCCAGATTGATGATGCTCAGAGGACCAACTGCTGGATTCAGCTCAAAAAAATCAGAAATTTAAATCAAGTGTGCCGACCACACAGAGAACTCGCTGAACAAACATGGAAGATAAGAAAAGTCACGAGAGACTGGGTTCAATCACCAGCCAAGCAAGGACTGGCCCTGTACAGAGTCACATATTGTAATTGTCGCTTTTGTCTGAGGGAGAACCAAACATTATTTACAACTCCCCGTGGAGAAGTTCTTGCTCCACTGGCTTTGCGTCGGATCGTCGGCTAGAAAGAATCTTCTCCAGCGTGTCGAGCCGCTCGCGTGTGGACCGGATGGCATGGTCCATCTCGAGATCAGACATCTTCTCTTCATCCACTCTGCCGGCGAGCGCACGCTCACCTTGCATCTTTCTCGACAGATGGTGCGTCCGCGAACCGGACGGCTGGCTGACCGTCGGAAAGGCCAGACCATCCATGCCAACTCGATCTTCCAGCCAGCTCCAGAGCTCACTTTCCTCTCGGCGCCACATCTCTTCGTAGGCAGCGAGACGCTGAGGCAAGGAATAGCCCGGACACCCGATATCGTGAGACATCGTCGACGACTGAGAAGGGCTTCGGAAGAAGAGTATGAAGAGAAGAATGCCGATGATCACGATGGTTACATTGCCGCTCAGCAAAGGCGTGACCATGTCCGATACAGGCCCGAGAATCCCATGTAGCGGTTCCAAGGGTCCCCACGATGTTGCTTTCTCAGCAGCTGCCTTCTCTGCTACCTTTGTCTCTGATGCAGAGTCTTCTTGAGCGGACTCACTTCTCTTGCGGCGGCCCTTGCCTTTACCGGACTTGGCACCGCCGGCGCGACCGCGTGGTGCAACTGCAGCCTTGAGAGCATTCACAAGCTCAGTTCCGAATGAGGTTTGGCCATCAATGGCACCCTTTTCAATGGGACCTAGTCACGATCAGCATACCTGCTACCGTCTCAGGCCACTTCAGAGAAAACATACCTTTCAGCCAGCTTTTTCCGGACCACTCGATAGTACAGGTCATCAGGAACCGGGTTTGGTTGTTCGCCGCCCAAGTGAAAAGGTATTTGGTCTTCGTACAGAAGACATTACCGCTTGGAACATCGGGCGTTTGGGTACTCAAAGTGACCAGCACTGCCTTCTCCAGATCCAAAAAGTCCAAGCTCTCTGTGCTGATACATTTGGTCTGCTTGGGCCCAATGGATCCATTTAGTGGCTTGATGTACGAGTATTTCCGGGTTTTACTCTCGTTGGTAAGACCTTTGTTACCGCTCTCAAACTGAAGCTCGCCAGACTTCTGATTCTCGACCAGAAATTTGGGTACGAATGCGCCTGATGCGGGGCCGAAGATGTAGGAGTATACTTTGCCTAGAGGAGCAGGAATGATTTCGTCCTTGATCACCTTATCGTACTGTCCCGAAGGATCAGTGAACTCAGTAGGCGCGTGGGTAGCGGGTCCAGGGAAATCCGTATCACCGTCGCTGGGGGAGCTCGCTTTGCTACCTTTGGCCTCACCGTTCGAAGCCGATTGTCCATTATTGGCGCCTTGGAGGAGCCCTGAGGCTTGGCGACTGATTGTCTTTGAGGGGACAGACTTCTCGCTGCCATGAACACTGGTGGCTCCTTCGAAGATGCTGTCGGCATTGTCCCCTTCCTCATCCTCATCATAAATCTCGTCTTCGTCGTCACTTTCCACGTCGCTTTCAGCGGCCTTTTCCGTCTTGTCTCCGGTGCCGTCAGTGACCCTGGTTCCGTTTGCTGAGCTCTTGAGGGCAGGATGGTTGATCTTCCAGATGTTGACCATAAGATCATATGTGGACTCTCGACTCAGAAGACTACGGAAGGTGTGTCGCGCATGAAGAGTCTGGATCGCAATCGCATTTGGAAAGACCATCGCGGTTGACTCCTTCTCAATCGCCACAACCTCATCGAAGCTGATAACGAGGGTTGTCACCCATCCCAGAATGTTGCTGGAGAAGCAGATATGCCCCTCAGAGATGTAGATGCGACCAGCCAGAATGATCTCTCGCTGCAAAGCGCAGCTATAATCCTCAATCAAGTAGTCATCTTCGGGGACACTGCGGAACAATTGATGGAAGTCCCGGTTACGCTTTTTGCTAGCAACAGCGAATCCGGTGAGCCGTGGCACACTGGCATTAGCCCCAGGGGCTCCTAGGGCTATTGCGCTGGCACCAATCGCGCCGATCGTCGAAGTGGTGGCTCCAGATGAGCCACGATTTCTCCGCCGGGCCATCCGGCTTCGGATGCTACCGCTTCGATATGGCCGGGTACCTCCCAACTCGCCCTCCACAACGCTGCCGCTGGGCGTCGTCTGGTTCCCAGTCCCTTCCCTAGTGAGCGATGTGCTGGATTGGCCATCAACGCCGTCATCCATGGGCGGGGCGAGAGAGGTGGCGGCCGGTTGCTCGTAGGCCATGGTGACTGCTCGAGCAGCGCGGCTATCTTCCAGTCTAGCAGCTTCTTCATCACGCTGCAGAACGCCAGGGCCTTTGCGCCGATCTGATGGTAGCTCAGGCTTGGTAATTACCACCCCGTCTGGAGTCGAGACTGATCCACCAGGAGGGATTGCTATGTCCAAGTGGCTAAAATCCAGGTTACCCGATCCCAGGGTGTCAACAGCCATGGGCTTCTTCTCGTCTGACTTTCTGCTTTCCACCGCCTGAGTCGAACTTTCCTGTTTCTCAGCGGTAGCACGATTGTCGTGCTCTCCCGCCCCTGCCTGACTGACGCTGCGACCTTTCGATTGCGCATTGAGGCTGCTGCTGAGGGATGATGCGGCATTCTGTGCGGCAGAAAAGACCGACGAAAAGAAGCTCGACTGCTGGGCGCTCGGGGGAGCTTTCGACGTCGCCTTGGTCTCCTCTGCGGTGGGACCCATGGCAGATATAGAATTCGACAGCTTGCTCGGTTTGTGGCTTGCAGCCGAGGCAGACCGCACGCGCCGATGGGAGATCATATTGCCAGACGGGCTGACCACGACACCGTCCTTCGAGTGCATCGAGTCGGGCGAGGCCGCCACCTCCGGAGAGGCGAAGAACTTGGGGAATTCTGTTGTCCGCGGAGTCGGAGGGGTTACCGTGGTCGAGGGTTGCGGGATCGCTGTGTGGGGGGGCGTCCTTGGAGCAGGAGCCTCCAAGGAGAGCGGTTTGTCCTCCTTCAAGTCCGTCAAAATCGGGGCCGGGATTTTGGGAACAGGCTCGTCTTCAACTATGACAGGGGCCTTTTTTGCCGACACACTACCACTTCTGCTTTTCGTGCTTTTCGTGCTTTCTGCGGATGTCGAGTTTGTTCTATCTCGATTGGGCTTCTTCTCCGAGTTCGACGTGAAAGGATTCTTGAATCGTCGACCGGGAGAGGTGCCCCTCTTCTTTCCAGATGAAGGTACACTTAGGGTATGACCGTGTTGGCTCGTGGGCCTTGAGCGTTCCGAGTCTGGAATCGACTCTGGACCGGCACTCGGACCACTGACGACCGACTCGAGGTCTCCCTGAGCACCATCATCGGTAGCTTCCACGGAGGTTGTTTTGATCAAAGGGGAGGACGAGGTGTAGAAGCCACTATGGGAGTTATGCGAGGTGAGTGGTGGCGTGCTAAGAAAAGGACGGTCAGTCAGTCTAGATTTCATTGTTTGCGAGTCGGCTACACCCACCGGTCAGGTTCGGAGTCATCGGTGAGGAGGTTGATAGCGTCGTTGTCCGGAGGGGGCGGCAGGTCGTTGATCAAAGACGGATTGCCATTCCACGGTTCGTTTGAGCGACTGTCCTGTATGTGCTGGTCATCCTCCAACTCATACTGAGTTGGCAGTTCGTCTGGTTGCTTCTGGGTGTCCTTCCTCTTTTTCTTGTTGCGACGCGCGGCTAGTAGCTTGGAGAATCCGCTGGAGCCTGCCTTGGCGGAGTCCGCATCGCCGGACTGTGATTTCGGCCTGTCGGAGCTGGAGTCGATGGACGAGGAGCGGCCATTGCTGCGACCGGAGCTTGCCATGGTCTCTAGATCTATGGGCGTCGTCTTGGTGCGACCGGAAGAGCTCAGACTTCGGAGGTCGGACGAGGGGGGCGGAACGGGGTCGGAGAGGAGAGATTCGTCCATGGCGGCAGGAAGTATGAGGGCGTAAGCGGAAAGGGGGGAAGGTGGTTTTTTGATGTACAGAAGGAAACAAGGGAACAAGGGTACTGGAGGGACTGGATCAAACTATGAACATTGAAAGAAGCATGATAGAGTGTAGAACCGGTCTATCTCTCTAACCAATTGTCGCAACAATAAAATCGAAGGCGAAGATCACTGAAGGGGAAGATGAGGGGAAACGGAAAGACGAAGTTGCTGGAGAGGTTCGCAGAACCGCAACAATGAATTGTCCTTCTTCGGGTCAGGATATGGGGTTCTTCAAGAGCTTTGAAGAAATGTAACCCAAGAGAAGGAAGCGACGTGAAAAGAGGAGGAGGTGGAATTGAGAACCGGATCAGGGGAAAATGTGGATTGGGGGGAAGAGAAGAGGAGAGGAGGGGGGGGAGAAGAAGTGCGGAAGAGATGGAGGCGGCAATGACGATGAGTAGCAGCAACAGGAGGAAGAGAGAGAAAGTAGAGGTTCAGCCTTAAGGTTGAGGCCAACACATGGATAGAATGAATGCTTCTAGCCGCCTCTCCACAAACAGAACAGTACGAATACGATCTATCTTAAGCTGAGTGGAGACCGACCCCCCCCCCCCCCCCCCCGATCGACAAACCAACGATGTGACACTTTCGGTGTACGTAGCCGGAAATAATTTGAGACTCTTGGAGTCTATTGTTAGCCTGAGACGGTCGGAGCTCTTTCTGACAAGACTAGATTCTAGACTCCCCTATCTCTCCGTACGGAGGAATTAATTCCTGATTAAATCTATAAAATCTCCTGTCGGGAATTTTCAAATAGCAGTGAATAGTAAATAACTTACGGAGGACTGCGTACTGTACAATACACCGCTCTGTCATTCTGGTCTCCCGGAATAGGGGGTGAACAGAGAGCCACAGTCGAGCTCACCTCCTAAAGCGGGTAATGTTACCGTCACATTCAGCCGTTGCGGTGAATCTTTCATCTTCCCCTCGTCAATAATCATGGCGTCACTCCAACAATCCCGGATATCTCCTCATCTTGCTCTTATCAGCTCCTCAATAAACCTTCCATAAGTTTTCTCGGTGCCTTGAATCATCAGTCTCTTAATTCCTGGCCAATGATATTCGATTGATCGATCAGGTTTCAACTTGGAAGTCCCCTACACAATCTACAGCCATGGAGTCCGCTCCTCTTACTCTGGTGAGTCCCCCTTGGTTTACTCCTCCATGCCAACTCAGCCTCGGAAAGAGCCTAGCCTGACCGACCTTTCGCTCGGATCTAGGCTCATACCCACGCTCGCAACGCAGTCCTTGAGACTCGCAAGTCGAATCCTGTGGCAGCAAGCGAGGAACATGATCTTGCCGCAGGCGAATTTGCAACTGCAGCCCAGCACAGCTCGGACCGTGAGGTGCGTTTGCGTAGAGTCGTCCCTACGTAGGGGGGTCCGAACGTACTCTGATCTCCGCATAGGCCCTTCGAACCCTCCATCTGCTGGAGCAACACCACAAGAAACTCGCGCAGATTCTCCGGTTTCAGCATGAGAACCCTTCCAACCCTGCCTCGACCGGAGGGAATCCCCAGGCTGTGTCCGCGGATGCGGGCACCACCAGAAATCTGGCGGTGGGAGCAGATGCACAGCAGCAGCCTCCCCGACTGTCAGGACACCCACGGCTACCGTCAAGGGAGTCTTCTTCGATTGTCAGCAACCTAGCGTCGGCCCGTGGCATCCCGTCACAGCCCCGTCGCTCGTCCCCGGCCTCCCCTACCCTCACGTCCCAGCAAGCGGGGGCGAAGATGACCGATGGCCCAGCCAAGATCCGGACGAGCGAGTCGAGGCTACGCGGGATGCAGGCCCATGGAATGAAGGAACGGGGCAGTCGTTCATCGACATCGAAACAGCCGCGGACTCCGCCCCTGGCCAGTCCCACCGATATCACCTCGCAGCAGTTTGCGCCGCCTAATCCTTCCGAGTCCGGCCCGCAGAAGAACCGGTCCTCTGTGACCGAAGAACCATTCCAGAAATTCTACTCGACATTCGAGGGTTTGATCTCCAGAATTTCGGCCCCCCTTGCGTTTGCGGGCCTGCCGCTTGGCTCCGAGGCATCGGAATCAGCCGCCCACCGCAAGTCCGCCGCGGATACCCGGACTGACCGATACAACGCCATGTCCGACCGCTCCCACCACTCTGCGGACCCAGATATCAACAAGATCTTCTCCAAGGCTGCCCTGCAAGCGATCCGCGACACGACCGGCGGGGGGACGACGGGAAATCCCGCGGAGTCATTCTACGTGGTGCCCACGACTGGTGGGACCGTGTCGTACGCGGGGATTCTCACTCGAGCGGAGAAGGAAGCCCGTAGAAACAGCATCGACGAAGGGGATGAAGATTTTGTGGACGCGCGAGAGACCCCGTCCTCGCCCGAACTCCGCCAGAGCTTGTCGGGAATCCAGGGCAACAGCCGATCCGGACGAGGGAACGACAAGTTCAACAGCCTCCAGAACCCGAAGACCATGGAGGAGCTGCAGATGGAAAACCAAGCGTTGAGACAGCTGTCGGACACGCTGTCCAAGCGGTTGCACATGTGGGAGGTCAATGCGCAGTCTTCGTCGATGGCGTTGCAGCAGTCGCTGAAGGCAATGCATCACCCAAACACACATTCGCCGGACCAGCCCGCTCCCGGCTCGTCGGCTGCTATGTCGCCGGTGGGAGACTCGGCCTTGCCCGCGGCTGAACAGGATCAACGCATCAAAGAGCTGGAGGAGGCCATTCGACGCAGTGAGAAAGAGATGAGTCAAATGGGCCGGGAGAATGAGAAGCTGCGCGACGTACTGGGGCGGTACCGAGAACGGTGGGAGAAGCTGAAAGAAGGCGCCAAAACCCGGCGGGCGGCGGAGAGCAAGGCTGCTGCTGCTGGGGGGAATGGGGGAGCAGGCGCGGCGCCGCAGCCGGCGAGAAATCCCAGCTCACAGGGGGACGAAGCCCCGGCCAAGGACGGTGACACTGAGAATGATACAACTAGCAATGATGCCGAGACCAAGGTTGAGGGGTTTGAATGAGCGGTTAGTGATCTAGGTGAAAAGTGTTTCACGTCTAGCGGCTCTGAACCAATTTGATATGGTAATACCTGTTACGTTCCTCTAGTGCATATCAACAATGGACTACAGTCATTATTGAACTCCAGATAGATTCAGGACTAAACCTCCACCGCTTAGACATAGCATAACTCCAGTCCATCACCATCACCGTCACCGACACTCAACCGCCTTCCTCTCAGTCTGCCTCCGCCACCACTCCGCCGCCCCCCGATACGAGCAATTATAGTCCATGAACTCGGCCGGATTCATCGCCACGCGGATCGAGTCAGCATCCATCGCCGGCCTGGCGACCTGCCGACTATACGCCTGGATGGTGGAGGCGCGCTCAAAGCGACACTCAAACACCTTCTGAAGCACCCTGCCCACCTCCTCCCCACTCCCAGCCTCCTCAAACCCCTCAAAAAACGCGCCCAGCGCCTCAGCATCCTCAACGGCCTGGCTCGCGCCCTGGCCCTGCGTCGGCAGCATCGCATGGGCCGCATCACCGATCAAAATGACCCGACCCTTGCACCAAGTGCGCAACGGATCCAGATCCCTGAGCTGCCACAGCCCGACCTCCTCCGCCAGCCGGAGGGGCGTCTGCGCCCAGGCCGGGAAATCCGCGAAGGTCTGCAGCATCTTGCCGCGATCCCCCTCGGTCGTCCAGCTGGTGTCGCGGGAAGACTCATGCATCCGCTCATCCGGCACGAGCGCCACAACGCCGTAGATGGACCCCTCGCGCGCCGGCCCCATGACCAACCGCCGGTCCCCACCGACCACCATCGTCGTCTTCGGTTCGCGGGGATCCACCACCGCCGCAAAGGCCGGCTCCCGCAGCAGCGACGCCGTGGGGATCATCATGCGGTACGCACACAGCCCCGTCGGCCGCGCCTCCCCTTCGCCCTCTTGCGCATCCTCAGCCAGAACAGCCCGCCGCACCAAGCTCTTGATCCCATCCGCCCCGACCACCAAATCCGCCCCCACCACCTCCCCGGTCTCCAACTGCACCGTCCCGCGCTCACAATCCACCGCCCGCACCCGACAGCCCGTGCGAATCCGCACCCCATCCCCGGGGTAGTCGCCGTCGGTCGCGCGCTGCTTCAGGGCCTCGTGCAGGTCCGCGCGGTGGTAGATCATGCGCTCGGCGCCGTACTTGTCGCGCGTGCGCAGCGGGACCCGCGTCTGCAGCTGGCCGGAGAGATCGTACACCTCGAAGGCGGAGTCGACCATCGCGCCGCGGGCGCGCAGGGCGGCCGCCAGACCCCACTGCGACTCGACGATCCGCGAGGCGTTGGGCTGGAGCGAGATGGTGGCGCCGATTTCGCGGTGCAGCGGGGATTGTTCCAGGATGAGGATTTCGCGGCGCGGGGCGCGGAGGGCGATGGCCTGCTTTCGTTAGGGAACGTATCAGACAGAAGGGTACAGGCTGAGGATGGCTGAGGTGAAGGAGTAGGGTTAGAATAACGTAACGGGTAACGGGGACGTACAGCTGCGAGGCCGGCGATCCCGCCGCCGACGATGATGATTTTGAGGGGCTCCATTTTGTCAATTTGTCAGACTGTTCGTATTCTGGGAATACGGACGAGAGTGAAAATGAAAGCACTTATGCGATGGCCGTCTACCTCGACGGGGAATTTCCAAGTCTACGTGTGTGTCGACTACAAGTCCGTGTTTGTGTCCGCTGACCTCGGCGCCCTCATCCTCCCCCGAAGCATCCCCACTCCCGAGGAGGGGCCGAACGGGGGGGGAGGTAGGGGGTCTCGGGGCCCTCCGAGCCCTAACCTCGGCGCAGATCGGTGCAGTCAAGGTCAAGCCTCTGCAGCGCGCATCCCCAGAATGAAAGGTATATACATGGCCCCCTTCACCCAAATCCCAAATCCTGTGACACAACAACTAACACCACCAAACAACTCCAAAACAAAGACTCAAAACCAAACCACCAAAATGTCCACCACCACCACCACCACCACCAGCCTCCCCCCCAAATCCACCCAACCCACCTCCAAGCTCCCCGGCGCAAACCGCATGCCCTTCGACGGCCTCCCGACGAACTACAACGACTTCCGCGACGCGCTCTCGCGCGACGGCTACGCGGTGATCAAAGGCGCGATCCCGCGGGAGCGAGCGGATCAATACGCGGATGCGTTTCTGAGTTATCTGGAGGGATTGTATGTCCCTCCCTTTCGCCCCATCTCTTCCCTACATCAAAGCTGACAGCTTGACGCAAAAAGCGGACTCGGCTACAACCGCCACGACGCGAGCACGGTGCGGCGCGCCAAGCTGCCCGTGCTGAACGAGAAGGGGATGATCCAGGCGTACGGGGTGACGCACGAGCAGTGGGTGTGGGATATCCGGGGGGAGGCGGGGGTGATCGACGCGTTTGCCAAGGTGTACGACGACGAGGAGTTGATTGTGTCGTTTGATGTGGTGAATGTGGGGTTTGTGAAGTAGGTCCTTTTCCTTTTCCTTGGGGTGTGGATGTGGGTGTTGGGGAAGTGTATGATGGTGATATGGCTAACCTGTGTGTATCTGTGGCAGTCGCGAGGATTTACCGGAGAAGTACTCCCCCCCTTTCTTACAGTGATGTCTTTTGCAGGATGGGAATAGGAATAGGGATACTGATGAAGAGAAACAGCAAGCCCTGGCCCCACCAGGACCAAGACCCCGCGAAGCCCGGGTTCCGCTGTACGTTTCCTGCCCTCCCTCCCCTCCCCTCCCCTCCCCTCCCCTCCCCTTGACCTCATGCTAATGCGCATAATGCAGGCCTCCAAGGCCTCATCAACCTGCACCCCAGCGGCCCGAACGACGGCGGCCTGATCGTCTGCAAAGGCGGGCACAACGTGTCGGCGGAGTTCCACGCGGCGATGGCGGCGCGCGACGAGCCGCGGATCCCGGCGTGGACGCCGGAGTGGTTCGGGTTCACGGAGGGGGGCATGGCGTGGCTGGCGGAGCGGGGGCTGCAGTGGGAGAAGGTGTGCTGCGAGCCGGGCGATCTGATCGTGTGGGACTCGCGGACGCCGCATTACAACGTGCCGCCGACGGGGGCGGTCGATCGGCTGGCGGTGTACACGTGCTATACGCCGGTGTGTGAGGCGAGCCGGGAGGATTTGGTGCGGAAGAAGGGGGCTTTCGAGCGTATGTTTCTTCCTCCCTGCGGGTTATTTGGGAGGTTTGGCTAACCCGGATGTGCTGGTAGAGCGGCTGGGGACGACGCACTGGCCGAACGCGGTGCATGTTGCGCCGACGAATGTGGCGATGCGCGATGGGGAGCGGTGTCCGGTCGCCAGGGAGCGGCCGGTGCAGGAGCCTGTGTTGAGTGAGCGGACGTACAAGTTGACGGGGATTCCGTATTTGGAGGCGATGGGTTGATTTAGTCCTGGGGAACTGGGGAACAGGGAAAGGGTGGTTGATTTTGCGGGTTTGATGTTTGTGTACTCTGGTTTAGTTTGGATTGAGTATATGATTGTATTAGTTGAATGAGTTTTTTGTTTGTACTGTATCTGGAAGTAGTAGAGGCAGAGGAGTTTCTGTTGTAATCGTCAACCGAAGGTTGGCGATTGTCGTTGACAGCTACAATTTATGAAAAGAGGGGGGTCTGGGGAGAACCCCCAGGAACTTTATATAGTGTAGAATTTAAGATTAAGATTGTTGTTAATCTCTATTTCAAAAAAGACGGGGGTCTGGGGGGAACCCCCAGAAACGTCTACCCCCCAACTATCAGAATTATACCCCCGTGTCAGGCGAGCCACCATACAACATCCAATTCCACAGCTCATCTACGTTATACCCCGCGAACGGATAATACTGGTCCTCGAACCCTTCCACTAACGACACGCCCCCCATGAACCCCGGCGACAGCTGCTGCCCTGGTAGTCGCTCCGGGGGTCCCAGGGACACCTCCGGCCGCTCCTCGACCCCCCGCAGCCCGCTGCCCGGAGCCAACGTCTCCGACCGCCGCAGGTCGTCTTCGAGCTGATGCCAGGTGGTCGGGGTGATAACCTCGAACGCTGAGGGGGTGGGGAGCGAGGTGACGGGCTTTGCGGGGCGTGGATGCGGGTGCGGGTTGGGGGTCAAGGCGGAGTAGGGCGGGGGTTTTTGGATGGGAGTTTGTAGACTGGGTCTGGTGTATGAGTGGAGATAGGATGATATTTGGTCGTACATGATATGTAGGCCTGCTCCACGAGTGGTTAGTAGAAGACAAGACAGCAGGGAAGGTGCGACAGAACAACGAGGGGAGGTGCTGGTAGAACAAGAAGGGAAGGTGCTAACAGAGAAAAAGAGGGAAAGCGCTGACAAGACAGCAATGGAAAATGCTAGCAAGACAGCAAGGGAAGGTGTGACAAAATAACAAGGGAAGGTGCTAACAGAACAACAAGAAAAGGTGCATACCCTCAGAGAACCGCGGATCGGCGTCGTATTTCGACATCTGCACGCTCGTGTATCCGAGACACGCTTTCAGCAGCTGCCACTCATCAGCTTTGCGATCCACAGACTAACCACGCCAAATTACCTGAAGGTCCATCGCCCGCAGCTTCGAACCAGGATGTTTCATCAGGAAAATCCCCAGGACGATGCAGGCCAGAATCGACGGCCCCGCCGTGATGATCTGCGAGTCCGCCTCGCGTTCCGACAGCTCGATGCTCAACTTGGCAATCGCCCGCGCACTATTGACACAGATCGACTCCCCGTTGCGCAGACGATGCTGCGACGGCTCATCGGAGCAGTACCGCGTGACCTCCTCGTCGAACGTCGTCGTCGGGGCGATCAGCGCGGCGCGATGCAACGAGATCATCGCCTCGTGGTACTGGATGGCCAAGAAGGTGACGTGGTGGAACTCCTCGCGCGGACAGAAGATATCGTTGCCCGGCCGCAGATCGGACGGAATCTGGTTCGCCCACGCCAGCAGCTCCTGGTCGAGGCGCGCCGTGTCCAGCAGGATCTGCTGGGCCGTGCGCGTCGTGCCCGGGTGGTGGTTGTAGATGTGATGGCTGATGTTCCCCTGGGAGTCGGCGAGCTGGACGTGCCACCGCAGGAACCGGTCCTCGGGGCGGAAGTCCTCCTCGGCGGGCTGGCACGGCTCGACGGTGATGGCCATCGGCCGCCCAGACTCCAGATGCATCATCTTCTCGAGCGACCAGCAGATCAGCCACACGCGCCGGTGGATGTACTGCCGTCGCGCCGCCAGCCCGCTGAGCCGGTGCAGGCCCAGGGTATACGCCACGCGGATCGCCATGCCCAGCGTCTGCCACGCCAGCCCCTCTTTATTGCGGCCGCGGTAGGTGACCGTGAACAACAGCAGCGTCTGCACCGCGGGCAGATAGGGGATCGTGATGACGTGCGCGAGCAGCCCCGCCGCCGCGAGCAGGTACCGATCCCCATCCTCCGTCTGTCCCTGCGCGAGCTCATCCGCCCCCAGGCTCATGATCAGATACGCCGTCACGAGTCGGGGGATGCGTTCATGCGGCAGATGTCGAAAGTCCGCTAACGTGGCCAGCTGCTCGACGCCCGCTTCCAGCCGCTCCACGTGGAAGATCGGATACAACGGGTGGATGCGCGAGAGGAAGGCCGTCAAGTACCGTTGTCGATTCTCTGGACTTGGCAGTTCCGGCAGCGATACACACAGCGGCAGCTCCAGTTCCTCGGCGAACCGCATTCCGTGGCGAAAGAACCCGGTGACCGGCTTCAGCCGCGCCGCTGTGAAGTATACATCCAGAGACTTGGCGAGACATTGCGAGCTACTTGCTCCGAGCACTTTTGTGCGGTCACATCCATCCTCAACGCTGACAGTGTCGAACGGGTGGTGAACGGGGGAGACCTCATTCACGGCTGCAGCTGGTTGCTGCCCCGTGGCTAAGAAACTGTCTTCTTTGTGCGATGAGGGGGTGGCTTCATGTGAGTGCACAGCATGACTTCGACTGATCGGATCTTCCTGGTGCTGCTGTTGCAGATGGTCTCCCTTCTCGTTCATATTCCCCCCATTGCTCATCAGGGGTAAGTCCAGCCACTCTCTGAACCCCGTCACCCCCGGACGCTGCGGATCGGTCGTCACGCAGACCTGATTCCGGACGCGACAGTTGCGACATTTGGGGTATTCGGCATCACACTTGACCTTGCGTTGTCGACAGATGTTGCAGGCCATGGACAGTCGAGGCCTCTTGGAGGGGGGAGGTTTATCCATGGTGGCAGATGCTATACACACACTGAGACGGGTGGGAGAGATGCAGGGTGTGGCATGGCTTGGTAGTCTCCAGGCTGTGTGTGTAAATGTGTGTAGACTCTGTAGAGTACCTATAGAGTATGCATGGGTCAAGAATGCGGGGTATGCACTGGGCAGTGGGCAGGCAGTCTGGGGGATCGTCGATTTGCCCCCGCGTAAACAGAACCTGAACTGTCACGGCAATTCCTCGCTCGCTGACTGGGCCCGAGGCATTACCCCCCCCCCTCGGGTCCAATCGGGGCCGTGGAGGTGGGGCCGAGCCGAGGTAGACAGTCGAGAGAGAGTCAGGAGTATATCATGGATGGCAATGAATACATACATAAGCCTCAATAGTCGACTAGCAGCACCCACCCAACACCCCCAATGCTCTCCAAACTAATCATCCGCACCTCCTTGACAGCAGGCATCTGTCTCCCGTTCCACCTCCCCTACACCCGGTCCAGACAGATGGATAGTACTCAGAAGAACATGGCCATAAAGCCCGAGAGGTACGCTCAGAGATTGGATCAATTCACCCTCACTGGAGGCAGTGCTAACCCCAATAAAGGCAGTATCCTGCCATCGGACCATTCTTTCATCTCTACTGAAGCCGAAAAAGGAAACCCTCTCAGTTCGTTGGCGTTGAGTAAAGAGGGTCTTGGATGAGCACCTATATTGAAATCGAGCTAGAGAGAGAGAGCCAGCGAGAGTATTACCTACCAGGCTGCAGGGGGCTCATAAGGTTGCAACAGTTGGCTACCTCAGGGCTGCTGTAAGGGGTACCAAGTGTCTAGAGGATTCCATGGATTGCGGCTAGCGCGAGGTATTGGGCTTTGTCCTCGAGGTACCTACAGTGCGATACTGGGCCATTGCAGCCCGCGGGAAGAGTGGGGGCATTCGAGCTCGGGGTCCTGAGGTGGGCTCGGAGTAGCTTTACAACTCGGCCCGGCGGAGGTAACCATCCCATCGAAGAGGAGGGTTTGTTCACGTTACACTACCCTCAGGAGCAGCGGATACAGGGCTTCGCACCGTGGTTCATGGACACACCTGATCCCCATATTATCAAGTGGAAGCATGGAGCAATTGGATGTCTAAAGCGTTTGTCTCTGACTGCACACAAAGATAGCTATTTGAGATGTTCAAATAAACCTCACTCATCATAGTTTGCTCAGCATGAACTACATCAGGAAATGCAGCTACTACCTTGCAAACCAAAGTCCGGCCCCCTACTCAACATAGAACGTCGCATTCCCCCGGATGTCCGACGAGCTGCTCCCGACCAGCACCGTGAACGCCCCCGGCTCCACGACGTACTGCATCGATCGGTTCCACAGGCCCAGATCCTCGACCTTCAGATCGATCTCCACCGTCGTGGTCTTGCCCGCGGGGATGAGCACCTTCTCGAAACCCTTCAGCGCGCGGTTCGGCACCACCACCGACGCGATCACGTCCGACACGTACACCTGCACGACCTCGGTGCCGTCGCGGGCGGCGTCGGTGTTGGTCACGTCCACACTGACCGTCACCGTGTCCGAGGCCGTGACATTAGTCTTGCTCAGCTGGACCGTCCCATACGCAAACTCGACGTAGCTCTTGCCGTACCCGAACTCGTAGATGGCGGTGGGGTCGCCCAGGACGTACTGGGACTCGAAGTCCAGCGTGCCGTTGGGGTAGGCGTGGCCGGCGGGCCCGATGTTGCGCGCCGAGTTGAGGAAGTCGTAGTAGATGGGCAGGTCGCCGACGAAGCGCGGGAAGCTGACGGACAGCTTGCCGGAAGGGTTGTAGTCGCCGAACAGCACGTCCGCCAGCGCGTTGCCGCCTTGCTCGGAGGGGTAGAATTGCTGCACGAGCGCTGAGGTCGAGTTGGCGAGCCATGTCACGTCGGTGATGGGCTTCCCGCTGGAGAGAACCACGATCGTGGGGACGCCGGTGTCGAGAATGGCCTTGACGAGCGGGCCTTGGGCGCCGACGAGGGCGAGATTGTCGAGGTCGATGTGCTCACCGGTACTTTTGGATCGGTTAGTGGCTGGGATCATGTGGGATAGATGTGCAACGGCAGAACTTACGTCGCGTTGAAGCCGGACCACAGCTCGGTCTGGTCGCGAGACCAGGTGCCCACGACGACGACAGCGACGTCGGACTTCTTGGCAGCCGCGATGGCTTCATCGAAGCC